GACACTGAGCAGAGCCTCGCGCTGATACGAGCAGTAGATGACATACAGAGTCACGCTGGGACAAACTCATGATCATAATATTAACACTTTATTTTTTACTGGTTCTCACCAATATAATCAGATGCAGCAGGAAACTAAACAGTGAGACTTTTATACGTTTCTAAATCTGTAAATTAACACGTGAAGTTCTCGGATTGAATAATAACAAAAAGTTTGTTTTAAATAAGTATTCTTAATCTTTATCAGCAGTTTCAAAACTATAAAATGACATTTTTGTCAACATTTACTCAGTTTGTCACCAGTTACGTCAGACATGATTCAGACTTTCACATTTCTAAATCATTTCTGAAGAAGTTTCTGGAAGTTTTCACGTCCTCTACCCTTCTGTCCTTCAGAGTTGAAAATCCTCTGCTGTTGTTCTGTCCCATTAAACTCAGCTGAAGTTGGGTTTAAAGTCAGAACAGAATCAGGTACAAAGAGCTGTTCCAGACGCTGGCCTGGTTCCTGGGATAATCCACAGCAGTGTTGACGATGGAGGATTTGAAGCCCGTTTTAAGCCCACGTCACGGTCTGTGTGACCATCCAGCTGTTGTCTCTACATTTGTGTCTCCACGTTACAACATGTATCATATGTATACCTGTTACAGTGCTGCTGCACTCTTGGCCAGGTCTCTGTTGAAAGGAGGTTTGTGATGTGAACGAGACTTTGAGCTGAATCAATAAAGACGTATCGTGTGTCTCTATGATGGGATTCACAGATTTTGTTCAGACAGGGCGATCTCTGACCCATCCTCCCTCCCAGTATTGATCTCTGCTGGTGTCCAGTATCACTGATGATGATGAATAAGCAGAGTGAAACCAGGCAGGGACCTCTGGGCCTGAATGAAGCTAATGCTGGAGCATCAAATCCTGCAGTTCCTCCGGCATCCAGCAGGGGCAGCAGTGAGTCAGTCCCATACTCATGTTAAAACTTTACAGCAGAAACAAACATGTTTACAGCTGGATACACAAACTGTTTGTCTCTGTGGACAGTTTCCTCCTTCGTGACACCTGTTTGACTCACCTGTTTAAATCGTACTGAGGCTTAAAGTTAGGGGCGTGGCCTCTTTGGCTGACAGGCGGCTGTAGCTGCTAGCTGTCTGCTAGCTTCACCTGAGCTGGACCTGTGCACCGTGTTCGTGCTGTTGGAGCCTTTTGGAACATCATGTGACCAATAATATGGCTGCTAACAGAGCGTCCAGGAAGGCGGAACTCTGGTTCCTTTGACATAAATTCTAGGATTTTCATTGGATGTTGGTGTTTAGAGGGTATCTGAGTCTGTGTGATGCTCCCATTCAAAGCTGGAAGCAGTTTGATAACCAAGCTGTTGCTTGTTGTTCACTCTCTGACCTTCATTTATTAAAAAGCAAATTCAAGGCAAGAAAGAGATCAGTGTCTCTGGAGAGAGTTTAATTACAGTCTAGGACTCCTGGTGATCAATACTGTGATCAATAAGGTGAAGGAGTCAGGTATCAGCTCAGTCAGTGCGTGCTGATCACTGTGATGGATCACCTCTGTAATAAACTGCCAGACACGTCAGACCAGCAACAATTTAAAGATCTTTATTAAAAAACATCAACTTACATGTTCGATTTCTGCCGATTTCCTTCTCAGGACCACGAATCCATCAGCTCAGCGTCTCCTGGAACAAAACCAAAGATGTGATTTCAGAAGAAGCAGCAGAAACAAGAGAGAATGAGACAAATGAGCCTGAGAGCTCCGAGGACGAACAGCCTCCTTCAGATTCACGTGTTTGCAGCAGACAGGTGAGCGCAGGCCTGGCGGCAGGTGAGGTGCTAAAAATAGAAATGCAGCCAGTTCATGTGTGACCCATCGTCGGGGGAAAGTCCTCCGAATATCTGAATGGACCTCTGAGCAGAGGCGGAGCTTCATGCTGAGGCTCTGTGTCTATTTTCAGACTCACGTTGTGTCGTTGCTAAGCGATGATGCGGGCAGGTGATGAACTTGGAAATGACATGCTCGAAGACGGCCCGCTGTCCTACCGTGGGTGCAGACAGCGAACGCAGCCTCCTGCGGGCTGAGGGGGAGTTTCTTTTGCTCTGCAGGTCTGCCGGGACACACGGGAGATAACTCAGAGGAATGCTGGGAGATATCTAGGGGTTGCTAGGTTACCGCACATGGCCGTCCAATCGTCTGGCACAAATGTGGGAGAGAGAAACAAAGAGAGATGCTGCACCGACGCGGACCGCCCACCATCGGACCACCGTGACACAGCAGGGGTCACGGCCTCAGGTAAACCCCACCCGGCCGCTCTGCCTGAGAGCTTAAATCAAACTAAGTTCCTGCAGAGAGTCCAAGAAAACCGCCTCCTGCATCTGTTTGTCTTTACTTCCCTTCATCTGGATGGAAAACACGACGAGAGGAAGGGGAGCACACGCTCCTCAGCTCACACCAGAGATGTCACACTCGTTACTGACACCGAAACAATCGCATTAATCCACAGATACGAACGTTAGCTGTCCTCTCATCAACATCAGCGACCTGAGCGGGCCGCCGCAGGACTGTGAGCTGGTGCCAAATGTGGCGGCGTCGGAGCTGTGAGACGCCTCGAAGCAACGAGGCAACAGAAGAATTCAGACTGTAGGAAAACTTCTGTTTGTCTTACTGAGGACTTTTAGGTGAATGCAGCACCGAGCAGCAACCCGGCGCACATAAAAGATGCTGTCGGCACAAATGGCAGGTTTAGATGTGCATCGCAGGACCGCTTGTTCTCCGGGGCCCAGTTTGTTTGTAATAAGCCGGTGACCGGCACTAACGACCCCCTCAGAGAAATCAGCCCAATAATTTACATCCAAACACAAAGAGTCAGAGAAGAAGAGACGACCGCTGAGGTCAGCGAGCCGGTGACTTTGTTTCTCGTTTCCAGACAAATCGCTCGTCCTTAAACGTCTGCAGAGCGCGAGAAAGAAGAAACGAGTGCACAGAAGCGCGTCTGTAATATTTAATGGAATAAATGTTTCTACAGCATCTCTTTATGTCACTGGAGCCATTTTTAAGGCCAGAGCTGCAGAGGACCGTCTCAGTGATGCTAATTATTAATGACCTGTTAGTGACTGTTCATGCAGCCAGGACCACAAATATGTGGACACTGAAGGCTGCAGTTTGACATGCGTGTGTTTAACATGAACACAGGTATGAATCCAACACTGTGGACTCTGCGTTGGTTCTCCGGCTTCCTC